CCTACGTTTTAAATTGTAATTTATTATGTGAAGAAATTGAAATAAATGTATTATTATTATGAATGTCACGAACTCATGAAGTCTTGTTGTTATTATATTATAATATTATTGTAGTTTTATCCATAACAGATTTGACTTAAAATGGTAGTGAAATAAAATATGATTAGAATGGAAATTAAATTCCTACGTGTTTAATTTGAAATGTTCGATTGACATACAAACAATAAAAAGAAATATTTTATTTTCAATTCAATTCCATTCGATTAAAAAAAAATACTTTGTCTTAAGTAATTAAAAACCTTCGATGGTTCAAATCAGACATCGTTCATAAAATATGAACACACAGTATAATAATATAATAATTTAAATCGAGTATTATAATAATAGTTGAACGATAGTTAAATGATTAAAGACTTGTTTTTATTTTTGGATGTACAAATGCACAGCACATACTATATTACTTATTATACAATGTGAATCATTAAAAAGCCAAACATAAATTTTATTTAAAAGCTTCTTTAACGTTTTCCAACATTATTATTTACTCAGGTAGTCATTAAAAATAAGTTTTTTGAAAATTTATATTTTTAATTTTTACTATAAACGTTACTTGCAAATAATTGTTTTCATACTTTTTCAAAAAATGCCACACATATTTAATTTAAATAAAAATAAGCAAAACGTAATTATTTTTGAGAATTTTTAGAGGAAGTCACACCCGCATGTGTTGTCTTTGTCTTACGTTAAACGTGCAACACAGCAAAATGGACGTTCACCATAATCCATTTTACTTTGTTTTAAATATCAAAAAATGCCTTCGAGATGACCTAGATGATAATATTGCCTGGAAATTGTATGAAAGGTCGAATCACTCTAATTTTAAAAATAACAAAATAAAATGGATTATTGTGAACATTAAATATTGCTATATTGAGACAACACAATATGAGAGGGTGAGGAGTCTTCTTAGTACTTAAAAATTATAAACAATCTTAACTTACACATAAAAGTTTTAAGTTTTGATGAGTGGAGTAATGAACTGAACAACATAATATCGAGCACTTACTAACTGTGACATCCCACTCTGTTCACCAAAACTTTAAATACTTATAAATATTTAAAACTACTCGTTCGAAATTTAATTTTTAGGTAATAAAATTGTAAAAAAAAAGTAAATTATTTATTTAATTACATAATATTAATATTGATTATTTTAATTTGTTTGTATCACTATTCTTCGCTTTAACCCAGTGATCTCAAACATTTATTTCCTCAAAGCTATTGACATTTTTTTTTAAATAAAAATAAATAATTATTAAACAGAAAATAAACATGTACAATGTACATCTTTCTAATGCCTAGTATTAAATACATTTATATTTTAATAATTATATCCAATAGATGAACTACATTTTGTCTTAATATATTTTGGATTTAGTATTAAGGCGATAAAAAATAAAAAGGTTAAAAAATTGTGTTTTTCCCGTGATCTTTGACGTATTATAGACATAATATGGCCTGTTGGTAATTTAAGTCTGAGACCACATAATATGTTTACTATATTCTTAAGCATAATGTATCAAACGGAAGACCCAGAAATTGATATACTTATAAATATCATTGAGTGATAGAAAACTATATAATGTTGTTGTGTCGCAGAGATTTCTTTTCAGAGAGCAATATAAATTTAATAAAAGCATTCTAGTACGTAACACGAGTACACAATAATAGAATAATTATATTGAATTATATTTTAAAACAATAATCATAATAACGCTGCACGAGGGAATAAAATCACATTTTGATGTTGCTATACGTATTTTACGAAACGAATAATACACTGCCGTCGTAGTAGGTACATTGTTGTTATTATGATGTGCGTTTGTCGGCTATTGTTGTGAAGATTGAATGTCCGTGAGTCTGTATTCGTCATTCACACGACAGTCATTCTGAACGGTCGAAAATAATGCATCAAATGGTTTCCGACTTTCGTTCGTATAATGCGATTAGTTTATAATAAAATGTAATAATGATATTAATATTATATATTTTTGTTGCGACTTTGTACGAACGCGTACACAATGCGAAACGGCTGGCGCAGTGCTGCCTCAGCATAAAAGATTTCAATATCATTTTCGTCAAATAAAAAAATCTGTTGAATTTTACTGAAGCGTGTCATCTATAATATACCTACTATGGCCGAACCAGTCAGTTATCACGGATGAGGGATCAGCAGTAGTTATTTTACTAATACATTGTGTTCTTGTCCAACTACTGATTGGTAGGTACCTCTATAATTATAACAATATAATATTATGTGCTGATAAAATATTATAATATAATAAAGTGTGCATGGTATGAGTGTCAACACTTTGGAATCAAACTCGTACCTAACTCAAAAGCTATGGTGTATCGTAGTATTTTTTTATCGTGTTATATTTCGTGGAGACATGACTTTTCTTTGTAGATCTAGACGTGGAACACAAACAAAAGTGAATTATACACGAGTACTGAGTAGTGAGTACTATACACCATGACTGTCATCATGCGATTCTAAATTCTCACGACAAATTGAATAAACGTTTCAGACAAAAACGTTAACATTTATTTTTAACCATTTCACATATCCGTTTGTATTATAGGTTTTTTCAAATTAACAAATTTTCAGTTGCGTATTTCAAAGATTTTTAGCGAAATAAATCCCAAACTTTAAATATTATAATAACTATCATTTTAAGGACTTGTACAATTTATTACGTTGGATTTTCATTTTCTATTTGATAATTTATAGGACTGAATTGAAATATTTATTTTATCTATGGGTATTTATAAATAATAACCTCACATCCTGCTTTTAAATGTCTCATTAAAACATTTTATTCTTAGAATTAAAGGTATATGAAATATCATAAATTGTATTAAACATTATAATATAACACTGCAAATTAGATTATTATAGAATAGCAACATCTATATAGTATAATATATTATTATACAATTATATAATTAGACACACAAACAGACCGTCTTGGCTGGTGGCCGCCACAGAGTTTCTCGTCTTCTTTGTTCGCAGGAAGTGCGCCAGACTGTAATGTCGACTAACAAATCGAGTTACCTATAGACATTTAGACATATCCTCGGTGTATAGTTATTTTTTAATAAAACATTTTTTTTTTAAAGTTTATTATGTTCTCGAACATTTTTGCAGATGCATTCGGAGAATTATTCCGGTCATTTCTGTGGAAAATATGTTTGTTGTTGTTGTTGCGTACTCGTCTACGACCTTTCTCGGTATTTAATTTAATTTATCAGTTGCGTAAAAAATCTCGGGTCTCAAAATGATGGTACACAAAAGTTTTAAAATTTATACAATATTGTACATTGCGCGACGATATTGATGTATTATACGTAGGGATGGAGAATTTACGTAAAAAAAATTATTGGTAAATTTGTCAATAAGGTGGTAAAAACGGTAAAATAGCTAAATTTTAGAGCCATTGTTATTTTTTACTATTATACATTAGTAAATACGATTTGTATTGGGTACTAATGTTGTATACCTACTTGTTAAATCTAATTCTTTCTAATATTAACAACAATTGACAAAAAATCTAAAATATGATGATATATGTTATCTATTGTTCTGTGTTAGACATTAGTAATTAGTACATTTTATGAAATATGAATATTTAATTATTCATATTACAATTAATAAATAATTTAAATTAAACTAAACTATCAAAATTCACATAACCTTTATTACTTTTTAAGTCAAAACATGTATATTTAGACTTAACTTTTGTATTAATAATAATTAATAGTATATTATCAATATCATATTATTTGCCTTCTTGGTATCTGCGATCTGCCTATATAAAATGTATCCTAATTACCTAGTGATATTTAATGTTCTAAAATATAGTAGGGTTTGCAGAATATTGATACTACCTATAGTCTATAACAAACTATATAAACAATAACAAGTAAATCAATATTATAAATGATAATATCACTGTATCAATTGATAAAAAAGACATCTCTTTACAATTCAGACTGGGCGTTTTTGATTTCATTTAACTAGAGGGGCCACACAAAATTTTTTTTGGTAAAAAATAATTTACCGGTAAAAAAAAAATGGGTAAAATTTAAGGTAAATTTGTTTACCGGTAAAAAATTTACCTGGTAAATTTACAGCACTCACATCTCTAATTATGTCGTATCGGTTGCGTGTCGATCGCTCCACCACATTTTATACGTTTGCTATCTATTAAAATATGCCATGTAATTATAAATTGATCAAAAGGGAATATCCACTACCGGAAATTAAATAATGCAAACTATTTTACACATTTCCAAATGGTCAGTATTTAGCATCTGCATAGCCACACAGGTACATTATAAACTCGATATTTTAGATATCTGTGGTATGTTTTACATAATATACCTATACCTTGTTGCGTATTATCTATAAACTCGTCTGTTAAATAAAATATCTAACACAATTGTTACCCATTTCTAATATTATCTTATAATGATATAGGTAGTATGTGAATCGTGAATATTTTGTGTTGGAAAAATTTTAAAATATGTATAAATACCTATTTTAGATTCTGAGCGGAGCGATGAATGCATTGATTGCATTTTAAATATTATACGAAAATATTACAGACTGCAGAATATTATGCGAAAGGTGAATATTTTCGAATTTCCACGTGATTGATAACAGCGTGCGTTGGGGTTTTCGGTACGATATTTTGCTGGTGAGACCGATGTGCACCAATTTGATTCGTGATAAATACTGGGGCGCAAAGTAATCTCATAATATCTTTTTAATCAGTGATAAATCCTCCAGCGTGAAGCGTACTCGAATATTGTAATATCATTCACAGTAGTCTAGAGCAAAAAATCGGCGAGATTTTCGAACACCGGTTATAATAATAATATCGTGTATTATTATTGTATCGTTTCCAGCGCGGAGAAACGAAGTGAACATAATAATATTATGTCCTACGGGGAAGTGAATTGGACGGGTGTGGATGTGACCTGCTACCGACAGAAGAACGGCCCGAATGTGAATGGCGAGGGTCTGTCAGTGATCCGCTGCGTGCACTGTCAACTCGCGATCCGACAGCTGCACGGACAACAGAGTTTTGCGAGTTGGCAAAAGTTTTCTGAAACGTCTCTGTATCGACTTCTGTATGCGGGCCGACACTCGGTTGAGACGTAGTTGGTCCGACGAACTTTTCCATCTCGGTCCCGGCCTTTCCTAGACACCCTCTTCCGGCGTGGTCGTGATAGATCGACGACGACGGCCCGAGGACTCGGTGCTGTCGGTGGTCCTCTGACACGATAATAACAATAATATTACGGTGTCATAGGTACGACAAAAACGTGTGGGCGAAAAATCATTTCATAACGTCTCTTTAAAACGACAATAACATTACGTTCACATCAAATATATTATGTAAATTTACATATATTTATATATATATATATCATAATGCAAATAAATCTTAAGCAATAATAATAGATAATTTGTTTTGATTTCTCGACGTTTGAATTTTATCTCTCATATAATTGTTTTCCTTTTAACTTCCAGTTACCGCAACAGTGTTAGAAATATTAATAATATTTTGATAGATATTGAAAAGTATAGTATACATGTCTTTTTTTCATCATCACGACTGTTGGTTTGATGACCCGAGTTAAACCTATTTATACCAATTTACTTCAAGCACGTCGTTTTCCTGGCATGTGTCGGGCTGAGTGATATATTAAGTAATATCGATGGCCCACTTGTCCGCCGAATGAGTATAATATCTTTCGCTTGGTGCATAATTATAATAATTCAATGAACCCGTGCGTATTATTAAATCACCAGACAGACAATATCGTACATTACTATATAATATAATAATCACAGATTCCTGGACGTCATAATTAATTTATCGTGGAGAACTACCTTAAAAACCAAATGTACTCTGAAATACGCTGAAATATCCTGAAAAAGTAATAAAATAATATGCTATTAAAAAAAAATTAAAATAAATATACTTTATAAATGAAAAAAAATAATCAAGATTATTTTTTATATCATAGCACTCAGTTTGATTTTCTTGTATCTGAAAATAAAATAAGATGTTTGATGTTTTTATAAAATTTTAAAAATAACTTAATTCTCACGGCAAGTACTTAATTTCAAAAATAATATGCAACAACATGCATTAAAAATGGACGAAATCCTGAAATATGCTCTATAAATGCAAATATATGCCATAATAATATGCAAAATTGAATAAGTTATGTCATGGAACACATTTCACGGTATAAGGCATTCACTTTTTTTGACCGACTAATAAAAATACGGAAAAACATATGACTGCCAAAAATACCCAAATTGTACGGTTAAATTTAAATGAGTATCTTAGGCTAACTTTTTAGCCAAAAAATTACTTAATAATTAAAAATAATAAATAATATAATAATAATAATAAACGTTGTTCCGAATATGCCCTGTTTATCTCATAGCTTATAAGTAATATTATTACCATAATGTTTAAGGGAACTTTTTTAAATTATGGTAAAATAATACATTGTTTTTGTGTGTGTTTATTATTTAATGCAATGTTGATATTTAAATTCAATATAATATACTTAACCACACATAATAATAACAATCAATTTTTGTTCATTTTTTATCCGAACTACAAGGCTTATTTCTAATTTAATAATACATCTTAGGGATGTTTGTTTAGATTATCTGCTCAAAAGTTTATTCTAAAAGTAAAAACAATTCAACCAATTTGCTTGAAATCTAATATAATAATATGTATTCTTTATATTCGAATAGATAGTCCTATTATGAGGGTTATTAAAATAAAAATGGTAAATTTTAATAGTAATACAATATTGTAATAAATGGGACGTTATTTTTTTATTTTTTTTTTTGATATTATATCAATATTATTGTGGCAAAATATGATGTTTGGGAGATCACTTTCGATCAGTTTTTGATTATAATATTTCACCCTTATCACTGAAGGTGTAAAGGTCATGTACCTGTGTTACTTCGTGTACATAAATATCAAAAATACGGTAAGCTACACTGATCGGGTGGTTATAATACTCAACATGGAGGTCCAATATTTGTACTTTATATTGTGGCTGTTGCCCGTTTAAAATTTTTCAATGTGCTCCGCGTTTAGTTTTTTTTTATACAGTCGTACTTGTGTTGTGATCCGTTACACTAAAATTTTCGTGTTGCGCTTTTAAGAATAATAGTTAAAATATTTATCCTAAATTAGAGAATTATAGGTAGGTACTCCCGAAAAAAAATCTAAACCATTAAGTTTTTTGTTACTATATTATCGTACTGGTTGATTTTTTTTAACAGTGAACAGTAATTATTATCTTGTAATGCATGAATAAATTCATTGAAATTATTTTATTTGAATAATATTATTATGAAATAGTTATTAAACCACGCGTATTTGAAAAAAATATTTAATATTTTTTTTTATCGTTTATTGTTATAATTGTTTAGGTTTTTAACGAAATCATAATATATTTTTTTAATTTGATATTTTTAGTTACAACGGATTTCTGAAAATTTTTAATTATAGAAATCAAATTTCGAACAATTAGTCGTATATTTTTAGTTTCTGTGAGTGGAATGGAATGTGACAGGATTAATCAACCGAAAAAGTATTTCGTCTATAACTCTATTTACTTACAATTGTTTGAACATTTGTCTACGTAATGATTGTTTACCGTCAAAAGAATCGCACTTTATGATAATGAGCACATTGCGATGGTAATAATGTGTATGCCGGCGCGTCGGTTATGCAATATTGATACACCCATGCGTTTCCTAGTACATTTTTAACACAAAAACCGACGCTAAACAACAAAATATTTCTTCTTTTTTACTGACAATATTATTATTATGCTGAACTATTTTCAAAACAATTTTTCCTTCTAAACTCTTATTCGCATTATCTTAATTTGTATTATTTCGGTGGTCTGCTTCTTGAATGGGATCAGAATATATTTTATCCACTCCTCGACACTGTAGTAATTTTATTGTTACTTAATACAGGATTCTTAGTAACGTATCAAACATTTATAATATTTTTTGCGTAGTAATATTAACGGAACATTTTTTTTTTTAGCTCTGTGAAATGTAAAAACATTATTTCATTGTGTAAATCAGCAAATTTAAAAACAATTCCGATTGAATACCCCGAACTCCCCGTTGCGTAAAAAAAATGCATCTGAAAAAAGAGAACAGAACTAAATAATTTTTATTTCAAAAATTTTTGTGGTAACAAGGACCGGCTTACGATATCCACTATGATTCTTCGACAATTATTCTGGTAGCACACGTCAGTTTTTTGTTACAAGCTCACAGTAAAAATATTAGTTCAGCGCAGTCCCCTGTGGAAACATCAATATTATTATTTATGATACCACTATCCTTCGACCAAAGTAATTTCCAACCGCACATAATTTTGTTTTTTTCAAATATTTAAATTGATCATTTTTTTCTAGCATGATTGAATTTTTAATGCACTTCAAAATCCAATCTAACACACGATGATTTTTTTTTTTTATTTTTTTTGGTATCAGCATTGTTCTATATGGTATCAATAATTTTAAACTCTAATTGGAAGAACTAAACACTTGTATTTTCGATAAGATATTTTATTTTTTCACACATTGCTTTAAAAGTAATTATAGTTGACATCATCGATCAATATAAAAATTGTAAGTTAGAAGTAGGTGGGATATTATAATAATATAGTATACTTTGACAGATCAAGATCATTTATAGAAACACGTTAAATATTGTACTTGGGATACTATTTTACAACTACTTTCACTATTTTTCGACAAAGTAAACAAAAGTACACCGTTTATTTGAAAACATTGAAATCTGTGTTTTTTTATAGCAATATTGATAGTATTTTAATAGATATTGATTTTTTATAATTTTTCTTCAGGAAACATTTAAGAACATTCAATACATGAATAAATGAACAATTCTATTACATAAGTTATTACAATTTTTACATAATATTTTCTTAACACACTTAAATATTTCACTAAATATGATTCTAATAATGTAATGGGATCATTTGGTTTCAAATATCAAGTACATTTTATTTTCCGAATTTAATGACTAAATGTATTTTGAAAATATTTGTGCGTGCCTTTTTCTTATCAGAACGTATTGCTTGAATAACGTCCTAGGAATAGTATGATTGTGTTTCCCTTTAAAGATAAAAAGAAATATTTCTGTCCAGTGACATGGGATTGCAATGGAGTTTTCGGGAGCAGATAGAGAATACTGAAATATGCTGATGATTTTCAAATTGTTAGCTCTTTTACTGTGTTCTTAACTTGCGTTTTTAAACAAGACAGTATGTTTATGAATAACACCAGGTTTGGAAAATCAATTTTGTAAACTTATTTTGTCTTTTAACCACGGATCTACTCAAAATCGCATGGAAATAGGGGAAATCAAAATAATTAAATTATTGAAACATTTTACTTGAAACTTTACTTTAAAATTTTACATCAAGTACCTTAATGTAAACCAGTTAATTTGGTCTTAGATCCATGGTTCAAGGGACTTTAGCACGGAATTTCTACTACTTAAAAAATTAGTTCTATTCAAGTCTGGTGTTAAAAATACGAGTGTGATAATATGTAAAAGATTTGCATTGCGAGTGCTAAAAACAGTCCTCTCGACAACCACATTTCAATTCGAGGTCACTGGATAGAAATATTTCGTATCACCTCTAAAAGGAAACACACAGCGTGTACCTGAATTAAATAGAAATCCATTTAGGGCCATTCTCCAAATGCGATTTTAACTATAAGTTTAAACAAACGTGCCATGACAGTATACTTCATTCCCCAAAAGTTTACCAACTTTTTCTTTTTCACGCAAGCAGAGGATGGTGAAAACCTTGTGACAAACAGTTCACTCTAGTTCTACAGTTTAACGTCACGAAATACTACCTTGAATACGTATAGTGAACTGTATTGTATTCACAACGATTTAAGGCTTAGCCTCCTCATCACTAAGATTCAGCCCCCCGCCCAAAAATATCCATCATTGATTTGGATAGAAGCCCCTTATGGGTAGCCCCCCCCCGCCGAATATTTCCCTAGTTGGGCTTATTGTGTTATCCATTTATATCCATATACTATTCTATATGATTATTTATGAATATTATATTAT